CAAGTACTTACCTAGGATCTAGGCCCATGGGTGGCAGCCAGGAGATGGTTGGATTTTGGCTCACCATTCTATAGAAAACAGGAATCCAGGGCAACAGATTTCAATCTCGATTGTTGCTTTTAACCATTTAAATAACCTGGGGAGATTTTGCTTTTGGTTTTTAAACATAAAAACCAATGTCCTACCCCCAGATACTATGGTTTAACTGTAAGGGGATGGAGCCTAGACATTTGTATTTTTTAAAAATCTCCTTGTGGCCAGGCACAGTAGCTTACTCCTGTAATCTCAGCACTTTGGGAGGCTGAGGTGGGTGGATCACGGGGTCAGGAGTTGCCTGGCCAACATGGTGAAACCCGATCTCTACTAAAAATATGAAAAATTAGCCGGACGTGGTGGTGGGTGCCTGTAATATCAGCTACTTGGGAGGCTGAGGCAGGAGAATTGCTTGAACCTGAGAGGTGGAGGTTGCAGTGAGCTGAGATTGCTCCATTGCGCTCCATCCTGGGTGACAGAGCAAAACTCTGTCTAAAATAAATAAATTTTTTAAAAAAGCTCCTTGTTAGAGTCCAGTGTGCAACCAGGTTGGAGAAGCACTGATCTTTGGGGAATGTATGGTTCAAGAGCAATTGCTGGCTTGATGTGTGTCACCATGTGCAGTTTAAGGGGAGCAAGCTCAAAGGTTTCTGGCCCCTGAGCAAAAGAAGTTCTTCAGGAATATTCATTCATTCCTGGTTTGGGACCAAAACTTGACACTCTGGTGCTGAGCGCCAGCATCTGGCATTCAGCAGGACTGGGCTGTTTTCTTGGTAGGGAGGCTGTTGCCATTATGGACCACAGCCTGTGGGCAGAGTCCCACGCCACAGCACAAACACATCTGCTAAGAGCATCTGGCAGTGGGCGTGGCTGGCTCTCTCGGTAGCACCATGAACTGTAGTTAGTAGAGACAAGCCCTTTATAAAAGGTGGCCACAAAGGCGCCAAGAAAAAAGTTTATCTTCTGAGAAAGATTGGCATGATGTGAAAATACCAGCTATGCCCATCATACTACACATTGTGAAAACTACACATACTACACATACTACACATTGGGAAAACTCTGGTCACAAGGATCCCAAATGGCAGGTGATTAGACTTGCTGCAGAAAGATGATGTGGCATTTAGAACTTTCAGGCTAATTACTGGGACTGTTACAGGAAAAAAGACTGCCTAACTTCCTTGGAATGGATGTTATCTGTAACCAAAGTTTACCTAATGGCCAAAATATGGAAGCCCATGATTGAAGCTATGTTGACTTCAAGACTAAGGATAGTTATTTGCTCCATCTGATCTGTGTAGGCGTCCTTTGCTGCTTTAATGAATGAGCACAAACCGAGTAGTGGAAAATGACATTAGTTGATTCTCTTACAGTTCTGAAGGCCAGAAGTCTGAAATGGGTCTTATTTGGTAAAAACAAGGTTATGGTTTCTTCTGGAGATTCTAGGCAGAGAATCTGTTTTCTTGCCTTTTCCAGATTCAAGAGGCTTTCTGCTTTCTTCCGCATGGCTCCTTCCTCCCATCACTCAGACATCTGGTTTCATGATCACATCACTTTCTCTAACTCCAACTCAGCCAGTGCCCTCTTGAGAACCCTTATGATTACCTTGGACCCACCCTGAAAATTCAGCATAACCTCTGCATCTCAAGATATTTAACCTAATTACACCTGCAAGGTTTCTTTTGTCATACAAAGTAACATATTCACAGGTTCCAGGGATGAGGATCTGGACATCTTTAGGGGCGATTATTCCAGCTGCTACAGTGGGTTTTACCAAGAGAAAAAGGAAGTGTCATCAGATTTAGAAGACCTCTTATCAGCACCTACAGGTCTGCTGCTTAGTCTGTTTAGTGTCACTATAACAGAATACCTGAGATGGGATAATGTATAAACAATAGAAGTTTATTTGGCTGATGGTTCTGGAGGCTGGGAAGTCCAAGAGCATGGCACTGGCATCTGGTGAGGGCCTTTGTGCTGCATCTGATCCCATGACAGAAGGCAGAGGGGCAAGAGAGCACAATAGCATAAGCAAGAGGGGCTGAGCTCTTTCTTATTTTTTGAGATGGAACCTTGCTCTGTCACCCAGGCTGGAGTGCAGTGGTACAATCTCGGCTCACTGCAAGCTCCGCCTCCTGGATTCAAGCAATTCTGCTGCCCCAGTCTCCTGAGTAGCTGGGATTATAGGTGCACACCACCATGCCTGGCAAATTTTTGTATTTTTAGTAGAGATGGCGTTTCACCATGTTGGCTAGGCTGGTCTCGAACTCCTGACCTCAGGTGATCTGCCCACCTCTGTTGCAGAATATTCAGGAGACTGTAGAGACCAATAGGTGAAACTGGAGGATTTTATTAGGGGGCCACCAGCTCAGCGGATTAGTATCCCAAGGCTGAGCCCTGGACAAAGAAAATGGGGTACTTTTTATATATTCAGGATGACCTAGCAGCTAATAGGTTTACAGAAGCCAAAACAAAGAACAGTTAATTAATTTGTAAAGTGTCTTGTGATGTATGTTACATTTGAAAAATAGCATTTTGAGAAACACATTGTACATTCTTTGGGTGTTATCTTGCCCTGTGACCTTGCAGCTGGTCAGCAAGAAAAACAGGAGTCTTGAGATGCCTGGGAACTTTGCTGAGAACGTGGGGAGAACAGATAAGACAGGTTTTACGGGGAGTTAATTTTAACCAGAGATGGGAGTTAGCTTTTATATCAAACACAGCACAGTAAACTTTATTTTATTACGCAGCAATTACAGACTACCATTGTTACTATCTAATTTCCCTCTTCATCTCAGCCTCCCAAAGTGCTGGGATTGCAGGCGTGAGCTACCGTGGCCCACCTGAACTCACTTTTATAACAAGCCCACTCCTCTGATAACAAACCTGCTCTCACAATAATGACATTAGTGCCTCCCATGAGTCCCTTCCTCTCAACACTGTTACCCTGGAGGTTAAGGCAATATATGAACTTTGGGGGACACATTCAAACTTTAGCATCTGCCAAATCAGGAAGAAGGTGATAAAAATCATGACCAGAGAGGCCTGAGAGAAGTGGTAAGCCGGATAATTCCAGACTGTATTGGGAAAGGCATAAAAGAACCTAGCCAATCTATCCATCCTTACCATGATGTGTGTTAGAAAAGAAAAGGCAGTTGAAGAGGCAGGAGTTTGATTTGGGAAAACTAATGGAGTTTCAGGGTAAAGACAGTGGTTCTGGAAAATGGGAGCTAAAGTTGAATGAATTGACAGATATGAGCCCCTATCCAAAAATCTATTCAGGCCAGGTGCGGTGGCTCATGCTGTAATCCCAGCACTTTGGGAGGCCAGGGTGAGTGGATCGATTGAGTTCATAGCAGAACCCATATCTACCAAAAAGAAAAAATTAGCTGGGCATAATGGCATGTGTCTGTAGTCCCAGCTCCTTGGGAGGCTGAGGTGGGAGGATCCCTTGAGCCCAGGAGGCTGAGGCTGCAGTGAACCATGAATGTGCCACTGCACTCAAGCCTGGGTGATAGAGGGAGACCTTGTCTCAAAAAAACAACCCCAAAAGACAAAAATCTATTTAAAGATCAGAACTTGCAAGTGATCAGAACTTGCAGTGAAAAAGTAGTTCAAATGAAAAGGATCTTGTATCTAGCTGATCTCGAAGCACTGAAGACGCACTAATTTTTGAGAAGAGGACTTCTTAAGGCTTAAAGGTTAATATTGACTTCCTTGATTCAGAAAGCCTCTTGAATCAACACGTAGGCTGTTTCTATAGCGATTCCAGGAAGCATTGGGATTTCTTTGTCTTAGGTGGGGGAACCTAGAGGCCAACCCTGAGATAAGGCTTCAAGTACAGGGAGGTTATTCAGGAGAGAAAGAACCATAGGTAAAGGGCGGAAGAAGCGGCAAGGCAGGGAGGAACTCAACACAGTACCTTATCCAGTTGGGTACTATGACAGGTAATCAAAGCTTAACTCCTCCCGGAGAAGCTCCTGGAGCCAATGTCAAATATATACCTCAGACTTATTCCTCCTGTGCTGTGAGGTTGCTGGGGGATTGACTGATTGATTGATTGATTGATTGATTGAAAGGGTCTCACTCTGTGGCCCAGACTGCAATCTCCACTCACTGCAGGCTCTGCCTCTGAGGCTCAAGCGATTCTCCTGCCTCAGCCTCCTTAGTAGCTGGGATTATAGACACATGCCACCACACTGGGCTAATTTTTGTATTTTTAGCAGAGACAGGGTTTTTCCATGTTGGCCAGGCTGATCTTGAACTCCTGACCTCAGGTGATCCACCCACATCGGCCTCCCAAAGTGCTGGGATTACAGGCGTGAGCCACTGTGCCTGGCCTGCTGGAGGATTTCTATCTCTACTTCCCGTCAGTCATTAGTGGAGGACTTCTCCCATGGCAGGCATTATTCCTTGGCACTTCCAGTTTGCCCAGCAAGAGGCAAAGGACTCCAGGGGCAAGAAAAAGACCCTGGGCCACAAGACCCAGATCTGGCATCTCAGAGTGATGTTCTAGTAAAGACGTGAATGCTGGGAGCGGGTGTAGGTGGAGCGCTAAGATTATCTGCTATAAGAAAACATTTTGCTAGCCTAACCATTTGGATGGTTTCAAAGGTGTTTTCTCAAACATAATGGTGATCACACCACAGTTAAAATGGACAGAGGCCAGGCGTGGTGGCTCATGTCTGTAATGCCAGCACTGTGGGAGGCTGAGGTGGGCGGGTCACTTGAGGTCAGAAGTTTGAGACCACCCTGCCAATGTGATGAAACCCTGTCTCTACTAAAAATACAACAATTAGCTGGGTGTGGTGGTGCACATCTGTAATTCCAGCTACTTGGGAGGCTGAAGCACAAGAATCGCTTGAACCTGGGAGGCAGAGGTTGCAGTGAGCCGAGATCGCACCACTGCACTCCAGCCTGGGTGGCAGAGTGAGACTCCATCTCAAAATAAAATAAAATGGACAGGAAGATCAGGACCGAGAAGGTACAACTTTAATGCATCTGCAGCCAGTTCCTAGAACAGGACAAGGTGATGAACAGACACCAATTCTCATGGCTTTGTGTTTCACCAAACATTAAGCTGAAGACTGCATTTTGCATTATTTCATAAAATGACAAACATTTACGCAATGTAGAAGGAAATGATCAATTCTTAAAATGTAATCGACAAGCAACACCAAGAAGACAGGCTAGTAAGCATAAATTTTCACTTTGTGGACCTCCTTGTCGTCACATTCCCTCTGTTTGTTGTAGTAATAGAATGTATTGTCCCTTCTCTGAAGTTTCTTCACGTATCCTGTCTCTGGCCAGCGGTCTACCTGCACATCAAGAACCAGAATACAAATTTTGTAACACCAGCTTTATTTTTATCTCATATTTTCCTCTCAAATAGTTAAAAGGTATGATTCACACCAACAAAGTATAAGATTAGATTTTAAAATGCTTGAGCTTTTAAAGTGTTATACCCACAAGAGACATCTTACATTGCAGCCTTATACTGTAAGACAACTAATTCAGGCTGAGTGCCGGGGCTCATGCCTGTAATCCCAGCACTTTGGAGGCTGCGGCAGGCAGATCACTTGAGGTCAGGAGTTCAAGATTAACCTGGGCAACATGGCGAAACCCTGTCTCTACTAAAAATACAAAATTTAGCTGGGTATGGTGGTAGGTGCCTGTAATCCCAGCTACTTGGGAGGCTGAGGCAGGAGAGTTGCTTAAAGCCAGGAGGTGGAGGTTGCAGTGAGCCGAGATCGTGCCACTGTACTCCAGCTTGGGCGACACAGCATGACCCTGTCTCAAAATAATAATAATAATAATAATAATAATAATAAAGACAGTGAATTCAGTGCTTTTCTCTATAGCCCAATTTCTAGGTTTATTTTATTTATTTTAGAGATAGGGTCTTGCTACATTGCCCAGGCTGACCTCAAACTCCTAGGGTCAATTGATCCTTCCAGCTCGGCCTCCCAAAGTGCTGGAATTACAGGCCTGAACCACTGTACCCAGCTCCAGTTTCTAGATTTAAATTTCAATACTGTGGCCACAGTAAGTGAAAACACTCAAAGTAATGTAATCTAAACTTCATTCTTCTTACCTTTACAAAAGATTGCAAACACTATAACTTCTAAAATTAATACCCCAGGAGGATATCAGGTCTAAGCCCAGGCCCCATTTTGAAAGCACTGCCTGCTGATTGTTGATAACTGCACAGGGAGTAAAGCAAGCAACTCAGGAACTATCCAAAGGTGTAGACACATTTCCTTCTGCCCCAATTTCAAGTTCACCTTGAAATTTTTTCTTTTTTTTGAGACAGGGTCTCACCCTGTCTCCCAGGCTGGGGTGCAGTGGTGTGATCAATAGCTCACTATAGCCTCAACCTCCTGGGCTCAAGGGATCCTCCAGCCTCTGCCTCCGGAGTAGCTGGAACTACAGGTATGCACCACCATGCCCAGATAAGGTTTCTTTTTGTTTTTGGAGAGACAGGGCCTCACTATGTTGCCCAGGCTGGTCTCAAACTCTTAGCCTCAAGCAGTCCTCCCACCTTGACCTCCCAAAGTGTCAAAAATCTTTTTTTACTTTTCCTACCATTCTTTATTATTATTATTATATGTTGCCCAGTTTGGTCTCAAACTTCTGGGCTCAAGTGATCCTCCTGTCTCAGCCTCCCAAAGTGTTGGGATTGCAGGCGTGAGCCACTGTGCCCGGCCGTCTCCTACCACTCCGTCTTGTATATAACATACTGGTTGGTTTACTTGATCGTTTGGCTTGATCTAATTTGGAGATCTGTCTCCCCGCTTCCTCTTTAATGTTATGCCTTCCTAGTCAGGTTAATGTATTTTGCTACTGTCAAATATGTTCCTTTCAGATTTTGTGGAATCTTTATCATGGTCAAAAACTCATTATCCAGGTTTTAGAAAATCAAATCCTGTTCTTCAACACGATCTATACAGGCAGTCCTGCAACTGTTCTATTCCCCACGAATAAATCTCAGCTTTCAGTAGGAAGTAGAGAGGAATATACCATCTGTGTCCCCAATGTCTTTTCTTTTCTAATAACACATCTTCATTTTTTATGTCATCTCATTTAGTTATGAATTAGCAAGAATTGGTAACAGCATCTCTGAGAAGCCTTGGTAGGCCCTATGATGTACGTTACAGAAAACCAGCAGTCCTTTCCATCACTGAGGCCACACCTGCCTGTGTGGCTTCCAATGCCTTCAGCAGGGAAAGGAGTGTTGCCCTCTTCCCCTCCTGGGCCAGGAGCAGATTCTCTTTACTAGGATCCTGAAAACCATCTCATCCAGTGAGGAAACAGTACAAGCACTGCCTCTTCTGATCATCTGAAGCTACTTTCTATGGGATAATCCTTAGGACAGCTATGTTGGTCCTATGCTTGTTGACTTCTAGCCATTTTTTTTTTTTTTTGAGAAGGAGTCTCAGTGTGTCACCTAGGCTAGACTGCAGTGGTGCGATCTCAGCTCACTGCAACCTCCACCCCCCGCCAGGTTCGAACAATTCTCCTGCCTCAGCCTCCTGAGTAACTGGGATTACAGGCACCTGCCACCATGCCTAGCTAATTTTTTGTATTTTTTTTAGTAGAGAGGGGGTTTCACTATCTTGGCCAAGCTGGTCTTGAACTCCTGACCTCATAATCTACCCACCTCGGCCTCCCAAAGTGCTAGCATTACAGGCATGAGCCACCGCGCCCAGAAACATTTTTCCTTTTGATACCCCTTGGCACATCTGAACTTTTTTCTTCTTGACTTTCAACTTAATCATTTCCATTTGATCTAGGAAACCCACTTGACTGTGGTGGAATGGAATGAGATTCTCAAGTTCAAGGATGTTCTCTTCGGGAGGGAAGGTCAGCAAGCCCTGTACCACCAGCTACAGAAAAACAACTTCTCTCAAACCCTCAAACCACTGCACACTGGTAGAAACATTCCAGCCAGAGCAAGCCTTCAGTCACCATCCTCTCTGTCCCTGAGGACCCACTGCAAATGCCACTGGGGACATAAAGCCCTCTCTAGGGATTGTCCCCAAAAGGAAGTGATTTTGTTTTCCTCTAAATCCCTGTGCTTCTTTTTGTTAAGGCACACATACTTTGACTTGTATAAGGTTTTATTATTCTTGTTACTTATCTTAGACTCCAAGATGATGAGATTAATTAAAGCCATCATTCACTAAACACTTACTGTTTCTTCAGTCAACAAATTTTTTGAGGGAGAGTCTCACTCTGTTGTCCAGGCTGGATGGAGTTCAGTGGTGCCATCTTGCTCACTGCAACCTCTGCCTCCCAAGTTCAAGTGATTCTCCTGCCTCAGCCTCCCTAGTAGCTGTGATTACAGGTGTGCACCACCATGCCTGGCTAATTTTTTGTATTTTTTAGTAGAGTCGGGGGTTTCATCATGTTGGCCAGGCGGGTCTTGAACTCTTGACTGCAGGTGATCCACCTGCCTTGGCCTCCCAAAGTACTGGGATTACAGGCATGAGCCACTATACCCAGCCCAACAAATTATGAGCACTATAATGTCAGGCACTTCAAACGAGATTACATTAAATTCTTGTGACTTGTTTTCTTTCTTTCTTTTTTTGAGACAGGATCTTGCTCTGTCACTCTGGCTGGAGTGCAGTGATGTGATCACAGCTCACTGCAGCCTTGATCTCCTGCACTCAAGCAATCGTCCCACATGAGCCTCCCAGTAGCTGGGACTGCAGAGACACTCCAACATGCATGGCTAATTAAAAAAATTTTTTTGTGGAGATGGGGTCTCACTATGTTGCTGAGGCTGGTCTTGAACTCCTGGCCTCAAGCGATCCTTCAGCCTCAGCCTCCTGAAGCACTGGGCTTAGAGGTGTAAGCCACCACACCTGGCCACCTATGACTGAGGCTCGTATATCTTTAGGGGCTTCCCAATCTTAAGGCAAGGTATGAAGCTTATTTTAAAAAGCATAAAAATGATAATGCTTGTGTTTTATCTATTTAAAAGTCATAGATGATACAGTAATGAAAATTATCCTTGGCAATGGGGATAGAGAAAAATGGTTGAGAAGACAGATATATGAAAATCATAGTAATCAATCTTCATTTGATCAGTATTTTAAATTTTATTATTATACAACCTCAACAATGTCTGCTAAATTAATGTCTATTAAAAAGGCAATTCCATTTTAGTTCTGTATTGCCTCCATCCTTTTTCCTATGTACTTTTGTTCCATTTTATTTTGTTATTTATTTGTTTATTTATTTGAGATGGAATCTTGTTCTGTCGCCTAGGCTAGAGTGCAGTGGCGTGATCTCGGCTCACTGCAACCTTCCCCCACTGGGCTCAAGTGATTCTCCTGCCTCAGCCTCTCGAGTAGCTGGGACTACAGGTGCGCACCACCACGCCTGGTCAATTTTTGTAGTTTTAGTAGATATAGGCTTTCACCATGTTGGCCAGGCTGATCTCAAACTCCTGACCTCAAGTGATCCACCTACCTTAGCCTCTCAAATTGCTGAAATCCCAGGTGTGAGCCACCACTCTAATCCTCCTATGTACTTTTAAAGGAATTTTGAAGTAGAGGTCAAAGAGCAGTATAAAAGAAAAAGAAACAAGAGCTCATAGCAACCTACAAATTCCACACATTAGTCTCTGAAAAATGAGTTAGTAAAAAAAATGAAAAATAAACAATGGAGTTAATAAACACTGTTATAACCCCAAACTAAAAATGAAAATATATTTATGAATACTATGTCATATTCTACAATACAGGTGGCCCTTTGACCAACATAAGTTTGAACTTGGGGAGTCCATTCATACATGGATTTTTTTCAAAAAATATGTTGACTTCTTTTTTGAGATTTGCAACAATTTGAAAAAACTCGCAAACCACAGAGACTAGAAATATAAAAAAAAATTAAGAAAAAGGTTTGTCATGAATGCATAAAATATATGAAGATATTAGTGTATTTCTGGGCCGATCAATTGTTTACCTATGGGCAAGTCATCCTTTTAACAGGAAGTAGTAGTTATTTTGGGGAGTTACCCCCAGTAGTTATTTTGGGAAGTCAAAAGTTATACACAAATTTTTTTTTTTTTTTTTTTTTGAGACAGAGTTTCGCTCTTGTTACCCAGGCTGGAGTGCAATGGCGCGATCTCGGCTCACCGCAACCTCCGCCTCCTGGGTTCAGGCAATTCTCCTGCCTCAGCCTCCTGAGTAGCTGGGATTACAGGCACGCGCCACCATGCCCAGCTAATTTTTTGTAGTTTTAGTAGAGACGGGGTTTCACCGTGTTGACCAGGATGGTCTCGATCTGTTGACCTCGTGATCCACCCGCCTCGGCCTCCCAAAGTGCTGGGATTACAGGCTTGAGCCACCGCGCCCAGCCTATACACAAATTTTTGACTGCGTGAAGCATCGAAGCTCCTACTCCCTGTATTGGTAACGGGTCAACTGAATTTGTAAAAAATCCATCTCTTAGTAGCCAACACAATAAATAAGTTAAAAAGAACCACACGGTATAAATGGGAGGCACATCTAGACTTTGCTCCAGTCTTCGTAAAGCAAAGCTAGGTCTCCACTCTCTGAGGGAAGCCTGGAATATACTCCTAAAGTCAGGAGTTGTTTTCTAACACTTTTGTTTATAAGGTATAATCACCATAAAAAGAAACAGAATTTTGGCGGGGCACAGTGGTTCACACCTGTAATCCCAGCACTTTGGTAGGCCGAGGCGGGCGGATCACGAGGTCAAGAGATGGAGACCATACTGGAAACCCGGTCTCTACTAAACAATATAAAAAAAATTAGCTGGGCGTGGTGGCGCTTGCCTGTGGTCCCAGCTACTCGGGAGGCTGAGGCAGGAGACTTGCTTGAACCTGGGAGGTGGAGGTTGCAGTGAGCCAAGGTTGCACCACTGCACTCCAGCCTGGTGCCTGGTGATGAAGTGAGACTCTGTCTAAAAAAAAAAAACAAAAACAAAAAACACAATTTTAACCTCTTTCTAACTCATGGTTAAAATAAAAAGTAACAGGAGGGAAAAAATAGTTACACAACAAACTGATTATCTGATAATAAAATTACCCAAGTGAGGGAAAAAGATTCTGCTTTTGTGATGTACCATAAAAGAGTCATTTAGCAGAGCATACTTGCTCAATAAAACATAGAAAATTCTGAATGTGCCCAGCTGAATGACCACCTCTTCCCCGACTCTACCTGCAAATCAACCTTCTGGGCCTCTCCCACTTAATAAGATGAGAGAGTCTGGCTGGGCGCCATGGCTATTGCCTGTAATCCCAGCCCTCTGGGAGGCCGAGGCGGGTGGATCACTTGAGGTCAGGAGTTCAAGACCAGCCTGGCCAACGTGCAAAATCCCGTCTCTACAAAAATACAAAAATTAGCCAGGCGTGGTGGCGCACGCCTGTAATCCCAGCCACTTGTGAGGCTGAGGTAGGATAATCCCTTGATCCTGGGAGGTGGAGGCTGCAGTGAGTCGAGATTGTCACTGCACTCCAGTCTGGGTGATAGAACGTGATAGTGTGAGACACTATAAAATAAAATAAATATAAATATAAATAAATAAAATGAGAGAGGTGGAGTAGAAGTCTCTTCAGTTATTCTCTGGTTGTTTATAAAATACTTTTCAGCATCTGAGAAACTCATTTTGAGTTCAGGTTTGTTCTTACCACAGAAACTTGTTTCACTTGTTTATATTCAATTTCATCCCGATATCCCGCTTGTTGAAATCTGTACAGATTTTCTATCTCTTCTGACCATTTTTTGGCGCGACTTATTGATTTTGGTTTCACGTCGGAACTAGCCATGGTTACAGTGGCCTTATTACCAACAATTTCTGAAAGATGTTAAGACAACATTAACAGATAATGTAATAATGCCCATTTTGAAATTCCCTTTAAGAATAAACAAAACTAACACTTAAAAATTATATACAGAGTTGAGAATCCCATTAAATATATTAGTTTTTTAGACAGACAGTTCCAAGATTGAGAAGGATTCATGCTCTATTTTGTGGAGATAAAAATGTAACAAATGAACAAACAAAAAGCCCAAGTCCCCGAAAGATACATACAAAACTGTTTAATTCTTTATCAATAAAATTGCAGTTAGAGTTGTAGTTACGGAGTGATGTTCTAAAAGCTGTATATTTGTATACAAATACTAGAGTTCCAGTAATACATTCAGTAGATTGTCAAAATATCCACCACCACTCCATTTAGTTACGTTCCAAACTGTATCTCTCTCTGTCTCTTGAAAAGGGAATGTAAGATCTGTCTTCTCACTCTCTTCCCTGTTTCTGGGAAGGAAGGGTTTATTCATTTTCACTTCTTAATTACTTGGAGACATCTCAGTTGCTGCAATTAATGTACTGAGGTCACTGTAGTGCCTGATCCTTTGATGAACGAATGTGAGAAGACAGACTAACATGCATTTCATGCATACTGCATGGCTGTCGTGGTACTGAGATCAAGGATTTAAAAACAATGTAAGAGGTCACTAATAGTCTTAGAAAGTCAAATATACAACTTTAGTTCATATCATCGTCTATTCACCAAACTTCGAGGTTTTCAAAGGCATAATTTTGCACTTGTTTTCTCAGCTATTTCTTCTGTTATCAAAATGTATTAGTCATTTAACTGAAGTAAAGTGTCCAAAATTTTCATCATGATTCCTTGAATCTATTCTTCCATGATATTTCTGGCAGGGCGAGGTGGCTCACACCTGTAATCCTAGCGCTTTGGGAGGCCAGTGTGTGTGGATCACCTGAGGTCAGGTGTTCGAGACCAGTCTGGCCAACATGGCAAAACCCTGTCTCTACTAAAAATACAAAAAATTAGTTGGGCATGGTGGCAGGGACCTGTAATCCCAGCTACTTGGGAGGCTGAGGCAGGACAATTGCTTGAACTCGAAGGGTGGAGGTTGCAGTGAACCAAGATTGTGCCACTTCACTCCAGCCAAGGCTAAAGAGCAAGACTCTGTCTCTAAATAAATAAATAAAATATTTCTATTGGCTGAAACATATTAAAGTCAGATCCTGTAAATAAATTAATATTTTTTGAATTTTTTTCAATCACAATGACAAATGCTTATTATGTTAAAAGGTCAAGAAATTCAAGAAATACATTAAAGTATAAAAAGGAAAGGCTGAACATGGTGATTCAGGCCTGTAATCCCAGAACTTTGGGAGACTGAGGTCAGGATACCTGAGGTCAAGAGTTTGAGACTGGCCTGGACAACATGGTGAAAGCACATCTCTACTAAAAATACAAAATTAGCCAGGCGTGGTGGTGCATGCCTGTAATCCCAGCAACTTGTGAGGGTGAGGCAAGAGATTCGCTTTAACCCTGGAGGCGGAGGTTGCAGTGAGATGAGATAGCACCATTGCACTCCAGCCTGGGCAACAAGAGTGAAACTTTGGCTTAAAAAAATAATAATATTACACAGGAAACAGGTTCTAAGAAACATTAAAGAAAAAAGTGAACTCATTGTATTAAAATACTTTCAAAATTAGTCATATTTGTATATGAGTTTGTTGACCATTACTTGCAGGACTTTTACAGATGAAGCACATTTCCGAAAAGTAGTAATACAATCTTAATTTTTGTCTTATCCAAGCCCTTTTTGCTTTAGGCTTGGTTTTTTGCTCATATTCATTCAAAATGCGTTTTCTTGAATGTCATCTATATAACCTTTTGTCACTTTCAGCTCAAAAAATTATGGCAACTATACATAAAAATGCTACATTTAATAGAAAAGCAGAAAATATGCTGTATTCAGTTGGACTTTGGGGGAAATCACCGCTTTTCTCAGTAGAAATAGACATTTTTCAGTTACTATTAAGCATTTCAAAATTTTAGTTTCCCAAAATACCTAAGAGAATATGACTGTAAATTTCACCATAATAGGAACTCTAGTGACTGCTATAACTATGCTATATAAGTGGTGGTGCAAATTCTTTTTTTTTTTTTTTGGCCTTTCAGTTTATTAAAAAAACAAAATGAAACTAAAATTAGGAAAGATCAACTTATAATTCCTTGATTAAATTTTTCAATGATTCTAGGAATTCAGTGGCAGTACTAATTCTGCTGGTAGTAATATTCGGCACTTGCAGACTGAGTGGCTTCTTTACTGGCAATTGTGCCAAAAAAAAATTGATTAAAAAATACATTTAATGGCTGGATGCAGTGGCTCATGGCTGTAATCGCAGCTCTTTCTGAGACCGGGCGGAAAAGAGGGAAAGAAGAGAAAAGGAGTGGTTGGGAAGCCCGGAGACACTAGAGGGAAAGTGGGAGGGAGCGCGGAGCCAAAAGCCTACAGCACCCGGTTTTCCCAGGCGGTCTCCCATGCAAGTACTGGCCAGGCCCGACCCTGCTTAGTTTCCGAGATCAGGGTGATATGGCCTTAGACGCCGGCAGGGGGCGCTTGACGATCCCCAGAGCCCGCGGCGTTGCCTCGGGGGACCCCTACCGCGAGGTCGCAGCGCAGTCCAAACCGGCGGAAAAGCGGGAGAGAAGAGTCAGGGGGCGGTTGGGAAGCCCGGCGACAGGAGGGGGAAAGAGGGAGGGAGCAGGGAGGATCACTTGAGTCCGAGGGTTCAAAACCACCCTGGGCAACATAGGGAGACCCTGTTTCTACAAAAAATAAAATTAGCTGGGTATGGTGGCCCATGCCTGTAGTCTTAGCCACTGGCGAGGCTGACGTAGGAGGACTGCTTGAGCCCCCAAGGTTGAGGCCACAGTGAGCTGTGATCAAGTCACTGCACTCCAACCTGGGAGACAAGAGATCCTGCCGCAAGAAAAATACATACACACATACATACATGTTATGTATAAAATACCAAGTTGTATCTCCACAAACAACGGCATTGCCTGAGTTTCTGGTTTGTGAAACTGAATTGTATTAAACACTTAGGGTTTATATGCATACAGATAATGATTCAACTCCTACCTCCACTTTACTATGGTGCAAAGGCAATACGTATTCGCTAGAAACTGTATTTCAAGTACCCATACAACCATTCTGTTTTCCACTTTGAATACAGTATTCAATAAGTTACATGACATAGTCAACACTATATTATAAAATAGGCTTTGTGTTAGATGACGTTGCCAAACTGCAGGCTAGGTAAGGTGTTCTGAAGACGTTTAAGGTTGGCTAGGTGCATTAAATGCATTTTCGACTTATCATGGCTTTATTGGGGCATAACCCCATGGTTAAATCGAGAAGCATTTATTGTAGGCTTTTCGTGTAGGTCATGAAAACCTACCATCTCAAAGCCCTGACAATCTAAATTTGTAACACAGGCTTCTGAGGTAGTCAGTCATCCCAAATTCCCTTTGTACTTCACTTTCACTCTGAAAAGTGCTTTTACTTTTAGTAGTATTAAAACCTCAAGAGCATTGGCCTCCCTAAGAGTCCGTTTTTTTCTCCTATTAGATTATTCCTGTTCGTAAGAGGCAGCAGGAGCCCTGTAACCAGCTGGTAACCTTAGACAAGGCCATGAACACGCCTGTGCCTCTTTCCTGAACCGAAAGAGAAGCATTAGATAGTCTCTAACGTCTTAAAGTCCCGTCCGCTGTCGCTGGGCGTTCATATGAAAGACAAAAGTGGTTCCCAAAAGCAAGCCTGGCGGTCCCTGCTCTGGGCGTGCTAACCTGCAGGTGTGCAGCACAAAGCCGCTCCCTTCCGGACCCCACAGCTAGCTAGCAGTCCCCATCCCTCCAACTTCCTTTCTGCCACAAACCACCAACTGTGTGGGAGGTGAAATCCGCCTGGAGAAAGCTGGGATGGACAAAGCACAGTATTCCAAAATCAAGGGCCCGCATCAGAGAGCCCTCGGAGTCGCGGCCCCTAAAGCCAAAGGGATCGCGGGGCAGCCGGGAAGCTTCCGGGAGAACCGAACCCTGAGACTCTGGAAGGCCCTCCCCCCTGAAAAACACGGAGGAGACATGAAAACCACGGGATCTCCTGGGAAATCCTCAGTAGACCACAGAGAACGACAGAGCGGAGAAGGCGGCGCAAGGACTTCCGGGGCGGGGCTACGGCAGGGGCGCAGGGGTTGGCGGGGAGGGCCCAGCGACGCATCCACCCACCCCTGGGGCCGGCTCTCCGGGGTTATCCTCGCTCCGCCGAACAGGAGAGGCCGGGGGCGCCTGGGAGCTGGCAGGCGGGCGTGGCGGTGCTCGCGTTCTCTACTCAGGATCCGCAGGCAGGGCCAGCGAGAGGCCAACTGCTGTGGCCTCTGCGATCCTCGCGTCTCTTAGCAACGCGGTGAAGCTGCAGGAGCTCCCGGCTACTTCAGGCCCCGCCCATCTCGCCCAGGCCCCGCCCCCGGGAGCGAGCTTCTGTGCGTGTGCTCGGGGGCTGGAGCGAGCGCTGGCCCAACTTGCTATGCCAATGCAGGTCCCAGGTAGGAACGCTGCCAGGGCTTACCCCGGAGCAGAGACGGAGGGCGAAATGGGTTATTTGCTGCTGCTTGAATTCCAGAAAAAATTCCCTAGGAAAGCGGATCACAGCACGGAGACTACTGCCGTTTATAGTTCCTCACAGTACGTATCTCCTATCATCTATTTGCAGGGAATGAACCAATCCAGAGAGGCGCCATAGTGCCTGACAATTAGTAAACCTACAATAAATGGTATCTATAGCTTTAATTATTTTTTCTAGCATTATCTATTAATATAGTACAGTACTATTTTAGCGAAAAGTGATCAGATTCAAGATACATGTTTTGAACATAGAGCCATCAGGATTTGTGAAATTGTTGAATGAAAGAAAGGAACAGCTGTGGGCTGGAGCCAGCTCATTAGAGCTCTCATGACTCTGTAATTAAATTTTTAGGAATTTTTTGAGCCAGTTGTTAAATACAAGCCATGAGCATGAAGATGACAAGGGCCTGGGGCACCTGCCCAAAACAAAACAAAAACACACACAAGCCATATTACAAATTAAATTATATAAACTTGTAAATAAATGAGTCATATTAAAACAAAGGCAACACATAAACTGAAAACAAAAAAACACACTATTTACTTACAATTCCCAAATTTATTTCTTCAGCCCAATCTTTCTCTGAACTTTAGATTTGTATATCCAATGTATATTCAACATCCACTTGGTTTTCCAACACAACCTCCCCAAACACCTCCCTGCCAAAACAAAAACAAAAACCCTGCTCCTTCTTCATGTCTTTTAGTTAGTGAGGCATAGAGCCCTCTCTTTCCATATCCATCAGTGCAGCCTGCTGACTTCATAGCTTCTACTCACGTCCCAGCCATCATCATTTGTCTCTTCTCTGGTAATTACAACAGTTCCCAACAGCTCCCTCTGTCCCCTGTATAATCTGTTGTCAATACAGCAGTCAATGCAGTCCGTTTAAAACTTAAGTCAAATTATGTCAGTCTTCCAGCCTGACCAACATGGTGAAACCCCGTCCCTGCTAAAAGTACAAAAATTAGCTAATCATGATGGCACATGCCTGTAATCCCAGCTACTCAGGAAGCTGAGGCAGGAGAATCGCTTGAGCCCAGGAGGTGGAGGTTGCAGTGAGCCGAGATGGAGCCACTGCACTCCAGCGTGGGCGACAAAGTAAGACTCTGTCTCAAAAAAAAAAAAAAAAAAAAAAAAAAAAAAAAAAAAAGTCAGTCCTCTGTTCACAATCCGGCAGTGGCTTCCCATCTTATGCAGAGTGAAAACCAGAGGCTTTACAGGGTAAGCAAAGCCGTGTAAGGTTTGCACACAACACGCTTCCTCCTTCCTCTGTAGCCTGGATCATTCTGCTGCAGCCACACTTGCCTAACAGTGCCTAGCACACAGTAGGTGCTAAAGGGATATATTTTGAATGAGTATATGTCACTACTGCCCCTCTGGTGCTGTGGAGGACGCATGGCATGGTGGCTAGCAGTGTGTTGTCAAAGAGCACAGTGACTAAAAGTGTGGTGGCCTTCTTGGATTTGAATCTGGGCTTTACTTACTAGAAACATGACCTTGGACAAGGTACTTAACCTCCGTTTTGTCAACTGTCAAATGAGGACAAAAAGTGCACCTATCTGATCGGCAGGTAGGATGTGAGGGTGAAATAGTCAGTAGAAAACACTGATAACATCTGGAACTACCTAAACGGTAGACAATAATTACCTTCATTAGAATATACGCTCCCACCTCCACAGAGATTTTTGTCTGCTTTTTAAAAAAAATTTTTGAGACAGGGTCTCACTCTGTCATCCAGGCTAGAGTGTAGTGGCACCATCTTGGCTCACTACAACCTCTGCCTCTGGGTTCAAGCAATTCTCATGCCTCAGCCTCCCAAGTAGCTAGGATTACAGGTGCACCACCACACCCAGCTAAATTTTTTGTATTTTTAGTAGAGATGGGTTTTCACCATGTTGGTCTTCAACCCCTGGCCTCAAGTGATCCACCAGCCTTGGCCTCCCAACGGGCTGAGATTACAGGCATGAGCCACCAGGATGGGCCACATTTTCTGTCTGCCTTGCTCACTACTGTATCTTTAGTGTCTAGAACAGTGTCTGATACACAGTAGATGGTCAATGAATGAAAACATTTGTTGAATGAATTAAGCTTCACCATCCCATTTCCTGCAGTATTGCAGCAGCTTCCTATCTGGATTCCTGCCCCAGACTTCCTGAGTGTTCTTCTTATTTATTTATTTATTTATTTTTAGATGGTGTTTCACTCTTGTCGCCCAGGCTGGAGTGCAATGGTGCGGTTTTGGCTCACTGCAACCTCTGCCTCCTGGTTCAAGTGTTTCTCCTGCCTCAGCCTCCCAAGTGGCTAGGGTTACAGGCCCCGCCATCACACCTGGCTAATTTTTGTATTTTTAATAGAGACGGGGTTTCATCATGTTGGCCAGGCTGGTCTGGAATTCCTGACCTTGCGATCTGCCCTCCTTGGCCTCCCAAAGTGCTGGGATTACAGGCATGAGCCACCGCGCCTGGACTTGAATGTTCTTTAGACTCAAATCGAGTGGTTCTCAAACTTTATGATCCATCAGAATCACCTAGAGCGTGTGTTAAGCTGCAGATTGCCAGGTCCCACTCTCCTAGAGTTTCTGATTCACTAGGTTGGTCTGGGCTGTGCTTACCTATCTTGCCTATTTTCTACCCTATCTTTCCCTTGTCCTGACTCTATTTCCCTTTGTCTGTACTGCATCCATTGTGGAAAGAGGAGGAGATAAAAAAAAGTGAGCAAATATATAAGATCACAAGCTTTGTCCTCACCTGCCTTTCCTGGAGCTCCAAAGTCTGTGAGATTCTTCAGACAACAGACCCACATCAGAATTTGTTGTTAGGTCTCCATAACCCTGCCAGGGTAATTGTTCACATGTGTTCCAAGACAGACCATCGAAGGTGTTGCCAATAGTATACTAGCAGGCTATTTTACCTAAATTAGTAATTATGTTATCTATACCTCTCTATGTCAGCTCTCCTCCCCCTCCGCAAGATTTCATGGGAATTTGTATTTAAATAGAACTCTGAGTATCATGATTGCAGGAACAAGGTGATATTCACTAGGGATGACATTTTTTTTTTCCCTTTCTTAATTTTTTTTTGAGACAGAGTTTCACGCTTCTTGCCCAAGCTGGAGTGCAATGGCATGATCTCGGCTCACTGCAACTTCCTCCTCCCAGATTCAAGTGATTCCCCTGCCTCAGCCTGCCGAGTAGCTGCGATTACAGGCATGTGCCACCACACCCAGCTAAGTTTGCATTTTTGGTAGAGAGGGGGTTTTTCCATGTCGGTCAAGTTGGTCTCGAACTCCCGACCTCAGGTGATCTGCCTGCCTCAGCCTCCCAAAATGCTGGGATTATAGGCGTGAGCCACCATGCCTGGCCTTGTTTTGTATTTTGAGAGAGAATCTCTCTCTGTTGCCCAGGCTGGAGTGCAGTGGCATTATCTCGGCTCACTGCAACCTCTGCCTCCCAGGTTCAAGTGATTCTCCTGCTTCAATCTCCTGAGTAGCTGGAATTACAGACATGTGCCACCACTCCCGACTTCGTGTATTTTTAGTAGAGACAGGCTTTCACCATGTTGGCCAGCCTGGTCTTGAGCTCCTGACATCAGGTGATCCACCCGCCTCAGCCTCCCAAAGTGCTGGGATTACAGGCGAAGCCCGCCCGGGATGGTATTCTGATTCCTAATTTCCCTGGTCAGAAATCTTTCTTCCTGGATTTACTCTCATGTTACTTTGCGTCTCTGATTTTGTTTGCCATATTCTGCAAACATGTTGTCTCCAGATAGTTTGAATGCTACCCAAAGGCTTGTCACTGTGTTGTGCACAAAATGGGACTTCAAGTGTTATGGAGCCCTGGTAGGGCTCATGTGTGTAACCCAGCACTTTGGGAGGCCAAGGTGGGCGGATTGCGTGAGGGCAGGAGTTCAAGACCAGCCTGGTCAATGTGGTGACCCCTCGTCTCTGCTAAAAATACAAAAATTAGCTGGGTGTGGTGGCAGGCACTTGTAATCCCAGGTACTCTGGAGGCTGAAGCAGGAGAATCACCTGAACCAGGGAGGTGGAGATTGCGGTGAGCTGAGATCGCACCACTGCACTCCAGCCTGGGCCACAGAACTAGACCTTGACTCAATCAATCAGTCAATCAATCAATGTGTTCTAGGCTGTTTAATTATACTGTTGAAGGAGATTTTGATAGGAAGGAGCACAATAAACATCATTGTATTGCAGAATATTCAAGAGACCAAAGAGACCACTGGGTGAAACAGGAGGATTTTATGAAAGTGGCCACCAGCTCAGCAAATTACTATCCAAGGCTAAGCAAAGGAGAAAGAAAACGGGGTACTTTTTATACATCCAGGATGACATAGCAGCTAACAGGTTTACAGAAGCCAGAACAAAGAACAGTTAATTTGTAACATGTTTTGTGATGTATGTTACATTTGAGAAATAGCATTTTGAGAAACGCATTGTACATTCTTTGGGTGTTATCTTGCCCTGTGACCTTGCAGCTGGTCAGCAAGAAAAACAGGAGCCTTGAGATGCCTGGGAACTTTGCTGAGAATGTGGGGAGAATAGAAAAGACAGGTTTTACACGGAGTTAATTTTAAGTAGAGCTGGGGGTTAGGTTTTATATTAAACAGCACACAGCAAAACAAAATTTATTATATAGCGACTACAAATTATAACGTTTTGCTTTTACTATTATTGCTATTATTTAATTCTCTTCTTGAATTGTGGTTATTTGGTGAATTTTAATACAGTACTTTAACAAACCTTTTCATAAAGTTGCTTTGGTTGTCAAAAAAATTGTGACCTTTCCTCCTATCAATAACTTCCTAAAGTATAGCTCAAAAAGGTGGGGGGGAGGGGCCAGGAGAGAGGGAGCAGCTGAGACATTATTGGAATCTTATTTGCCTCAAGATCACGCAGACAGCTTATTCAGTTGGTGGATTATATAAATAGAACAGAGAATTCATAGTTACTGAATCTACCATGAGTTAGATACAGACTTTCTCATACAATCCTCACGGTTATCCCACAAGGTTAGAAATTGGGAAGAGAAGAGAAAGAGGGGGGAACTGAACTCTGGTTTCTACGGAAGCGGAACCAAGAATGATTTCTAAGGGCAGCTCCGCAGCCCGCTCGCCTCATCGGCTGGGGCCGCCAGATCTGGAAGTTTCGGTTTCCGTTCGCGCGACTGCACCTGCACAGACACCGGCAACTCCTAACCAGAGCAACACCTGCGTTTGTTTGGCAGGAATGAGCTTTGCACTGGGCGGGACTCAGGGCCCACCGCATGCGGCGCAGCGCGGGCGATTTAAACCCCAGGCAGCTGGCGCCTGGAGCCCTACCGGAAGCTCCTTGGCGCTGCCCCCGGTCTCTTGGCTTCTCTCATTGGACACGGCTGCGTTCGGCCGGCCAATGGCGAGGCGGCGCGCAGCTTCCCGGAAGTGGTGGCGCGGTAGGGGCAGGCCTGGGCTTCCTCTGCGGGCGTGGGGTCCACGGCGTTGGTATCGGTGGCACTATGAGTTCCTTCGAGGGCCAGATGGCCGAGTATCCCACCATCTCCATAGACCGCTTCGACAGGGAGAACCTGAGGGCCCGCGCCTACTTCCTGTCCCACTGCCACAAGGGTGAGTGAGTGCTGCGCGCAGCAAGCTCCCAGGGCGCGGGTGGCTGGAGAGAGGACGGGAGGGCCCGGCCCTGGAGCAAGGGCCTGCAGCCTGTGGGAGGCCAGCGAGAGAGGGGCCCGCACACCTTGTCCCCGTCGGGCTCTTCAGCCTTTCAAAGGCTTCATCTATTTTCGGATCTGGGCAACGCGGCGTAACGGCGCCTGCCAGTTGCGCCCGGGCCAGCTTGATCAGGCACTCCTAGTAGGTTCCCTTGGTAGCTCTGCTGGT